GGCACGATTCCCAATTTGGGTTCAAAATTCTTAATTTTCAATTGAATTTTGGGGATTTTTTATTTTTATGTCAAATTGTGCAATTGGGCCAATCATTATGTAATTCAAGGTCCCAGAATCATTTGTTGTGAATACACTATGACTTAAAAATGACTAGAAAAAATTTAATTGCATTTTTGGGTCAATTCGGGTTTAATTTTGCCCAATTTTGGGAAAAACATATACCCGATTGAGATTTTTAAAAATTGATGATGTATTCATGATATTGATTTAAAATAAGACTAATGAATATTTTTATGGAATTTTCTTATTCCATTTACTATTTTTCTTGATTTTCTCACTTATTTTGATTAAAAGAAATTAAGGAAAAATGTAGAAAAATGCTAAAAATTACTTTTTTTGGTTTAGAAATAGGTTTCTAGGCTTGTCCAGGATTCCTAGTCCTAATTTTGAGATTTTTTGAAAATATGAAAAGAAATGAGCTAAAAATCAAGTGTCAACAGCCAGGTTGGGTTGGGTTGACCCGACCGACCCGGCAGACCCGGGTTGGTCTAAATTCGTCAATTAAGCTCAATTTTGACTCAATTTTCAAAATTAAACCCGAAAATTGAATTCCTCATCACATTCCAAACCCAAATATATGATTTTCCCCAATTTTTGTCATACTTGTATCCAAGATTTTCACATTTTTGTATTCAGATTAATAGGTTTTTATTCAATTTGGTGTCCTAATGACCTGATTAGGCAAAATTGATGTCAAAATTGAATTACCCACATCTGATTAACCCTAGAAATGATAGCATCATGGTTCGACAATTTCATATTGGACACGATTCCCAATTTGGGTTCAAAATTCTTATTTTTCAAATAAATTTTGGGGATTTTTTATTTTTATGTCAAATTGTGCAATTGGACTGACCATTATGTAATTCAAGGTCCTAAAATCATTTGTTGTGAAGACACTATGACTTAAAAATGACCAAAAAAAATTTAATTGCTTTTTTTGTTCAATTCGGGTTTAATTTTGCCCAATTTTGGTAAAAACATATACCCGATTGAGATTTTTCAAAATTGATGATGTATTAATGAAATTGGATTTAAAATAAGACTAATGACTATTTTTATGGAATTTTCTGATTCCATTTGCTATTTTTCTTGATTTTCTCACTTATTTTGACAAAAAAAATTAAGGAAAAATGTAAGAAAATGCTAAAAAATTATTTTTTGGTTTAGAAATAGGTTTCTAAGATTGGGCAAGATTCCTAGTCCTAATTTTGAGATTTTTGAAAATAAAAAAATGAGCTAAAAATCAGGTGTCAACAGTATTAAGTAAATAACCAATAAAGCAAAGGTAATTCTGTCCAAGGAGGGGATTTTCGAGAACTAGGGTATAAAGACCATTATGCCCTTCCACTCAGCAAAGAAACTCTAGAACACCTAGGGGCAAAAATGTCTTTTCCAAATTCTAAGTCAAATGTCACTTTTCCGAGAATTTCTGAGCAAACCAAAAACTAAGCGAGCTTAACGGGGCGACGTCCAATATAATAGTTTTGATATCCGTGAAAGTTCGATACCCAAGTTTGGATTCCATTACATGGTCAAAATCGATCAAACGCCACTTTTGTGTATCTCAAACTAACGGGTGGCTTTTAGGGGTTACGCGCATTCGACCCGTGCTTGATTTAATATCAAGCCACGTTTAAGTTTACTCGAGCCATGATGACCTCGGTTGTCATGTAATTACGAGGGTCAATCATTAGCTCTGAAGGACACGGTCGTTAGAAATTGATTTAGGAATGTTTGTAATTCATACAATTGCCAAACGGAATCACCCGCGACCTCTTTGTATAACATTGGCAAAGCATTCTATAACCATCCTTGGATCGGTCTATAATGGCCCAAAATATTTCCTCGTCAATCCTTATGGCCGAAGTGTCAGTCTACGGTCGAGTTCTTAGGTCGTGCGTACTAAATTCCTAACTAGCCATTCCCTAACGGTTAGTCATCTCATGAGTGATCAATTCAGAGTGAGATTTAACTAAAAGTGTATCGATGAGATAATCATTTAATAAATCCCGAAAATGGGTCAAATTTCAGAATGTCACAGCGAACATCCTCTATTTCCTTTGGATGAGTTTTTTTTTCTCTCACTCACTTCTTTCACTTGACTTTGAGTGTATAGGGAACGTGTTTGGATACGGCTTACCTTTCATCATTTGAAGGTCTTTCAATTTAATTTGATCCAAACTTTTTTGAAACTTTTCAAAGCCTTTTGTCAAATTATCCATTTTTTAGGGAACTTTGATGCTTAATGCATTCTCAACAATTACAGAATGTTATCGCTCTCTAATGGGTTCCCGCTGGCACTGTTCACCCGATCGTCCTTCGCCGGTTCCGGTTGATTCCGGCGACCTCTAAGGCTGATTTTTGGAGGATAGGCCGCCGGACGCCCTCATCTACCCCTCCGGTCGTCTCTCATCGTCCGGACCGACGTTGGATTCCAAGATCGATCGTCGTTGGGGTGGACTCCCTTCGCACGAGAAGCTCGGCTGAACTGAGCCTTGGGTTCAGGTTTGGTTTCCTGCTGGTTTTTACCTGGATTTCGAGCTATTCTGGTCTCCTTTCTTCAGTGTTGGAGCTGGTGTTGTGGTCTGGTACTTGCTCTGCACTGCAACTTTCGGTTTTCAGATTGAAGTGTCTCCCTATTCTGGTTGTTGTTGCTGGCGGATTGATTGGAGTTGGTTGAGGTCCTGGATAGGTCCATTATATTTCTGCTGAGTGGGTGTGATAAGCTGGTGCTTATATTGGAGATCATACTGATATGTACAACATCCCTTCCCCTGGTCCTAGCATCTTTGACTGGTAGGTGCTTGTGTATTTGTCCACATGGAGACAACTAATCAATCGTCTGTATCTCCGTTGGTTCTGGATGCTGACCCTCCTCCTGATGCCGAGACACAACAGGAGGTAAATGGTGCTGCGTTTCCTAAGCCTTTACAAGGTATTGCTAGTCCCTCTAGGACAGCTGAACCTAGGGATAAATCAGTAGCTTTCACCAGGTCTGGCCCCCCGTCTGGTACCAGTTTCTTCTCCAAAGACAATGTTGGACGTAGTCGCAGTAGAGGTCGATCGAAAAGTCGGCACAACTCCCCTAGACCTGGACACATTGCTAGTCCTCCTGGTGGTATTGATCTCCGGAAAAATGCAGCAGGCTTCGGCAACAAGGGGAGACAGAATAGGAGCAGGTCCCTCAGGCGTGCTGGTCGGCCTCAACCTGATACTGCTGGAACTTCCAATGTTGCTGGACAGATTCCTAACAAGGCCCACGAGCAGCATCCTCCTGGCCCTAAAACCAGATCTTGGGCAAATGTTGCTAGAGTTTTAACTAAAGGGTATAGACTTACTTATGTACCGCCACGGGTGGTGGATGGTGAAGAGATCGTCGATATCACTCCAGATATAGCTGCTGCTGAGAACCCCTTTTGGGCTGGAATGTGTTGTAGGCCAGTTCATAGGGAAGAAAGCCCCCTTCAAGCTGACTGAAGAGGCTATAAGGAAGTCATGGGGGGATAAAGTTGCTGAGATCAAACTACATGAGAATGGCTTCTATTTTTTCCGTGTTCCTGATAATGAATTCCGCAGAAAGATCATTGACTCGGGGCCGGTTTCTATATTCAGCTGTACCTTGGTATTACAACAATGGCATTCCAAGCTTAAACTCAAGAAAGGAATTCTGGAGACTATCCCGGTCTGGGTAAGACTTAGAGATGTTCCTCTGTCCTTATGGTCTCCTATGGGCATTGGCAGCATAGCAAGTGCTATTGGCAAACCTCTGTACGTGGATATTCACACTGAACAGATGACCAGGATCTCATTTGCGCGAGTATGTGTTGAACTCAAAGCCACTAAACCAAGAGCTGAGCAAGTTAAGTTCTGCTGGGATGGTGAGATGAACACTATTAATGTTGAATATGAGTGGAAACCGATGGCTTGCCCCTCTTGCGGTATCTTTGGACATAAAGAGGGATCCAATGGTTTTGATTGTGGTTCTGTTCAGGCCATTAACAAGGCTGTGGACACTACTGCAGGCCCTTCTCATAATGTCCATAAGTCTGGTCATGATATGCAACTCCAAAGGACTGAAGGGTGGGTTCAAGTCCAGTCCCGAAAAGGTAAAGCCCCGGCTGCTAAGCATGTCCCTGCTCCCAGCCTTTCCCCTTCAGCGACTACTGATGCTCACGAACAGTCCCCTTCAGACTTGCTGGAACCTCAGATCCCGGTAAACACACAATCAGCTTTCGCCTCTGACCCTGTTCAGATTCCTCCCTCGACGGCTGCTGTTCCTGACCAACTGCCCTTGTTCCTCCGACCAGCACAGCACTCCATTGGGACAGAATGCCAGACTTCTGCCCCATATCCCTCTATGGGACCCGATAGAGAAGCCAATGAGGTGGGGCCATCCCAAGACCTTCAGGTGGGCCAGACTCAAACCACTGCTCAGGAACCAGCTGGAATTACTGATCAGCAGACTATGGCTCATCTACACACTTCACTGGACTCCACTGAAGACTCCTCTGATTCCCGGGCAGTAATGGAGGAGTCTAGTACCTCAGAAGATAGGATGGGAGTGGAAGCAGCTGCTGTGTCCCCCCCCAACACCAGATCTCGCGCGTTTGCATCTAGTGTTTCTGAAGAGATACCGAAACCCTCTCTTGGGGCTACACTTAGTTCGAAATGCCCTATGAGTGCTCCTAGTCTGTCCTCCTCAAAAAAGAAATCTAAAAGGAGGAGACCAAGGAAAGCTCAGAGATAGTTTCCCTTCTTCCTAAATGTTTTTTGGAATATGGAACATTAGGGGGCTAGTTGGACCCCTTCGGCAAGCAGAAATTCGTTCTTTCATTAGGAGGAATCATCTTTGTTGTATTGGTATAATAGAAACTAAAGTCAAAGTCTCTCGGTTTTTTGAGATTTCTAAAGACCTTTTTGCTGACTGGAAATGGATGTCCAATTATGAATTCTCTCCTCTTGGTAGGATATGGCTTGGTTGGGACCCAAAGGAGATTGAGATGGACCTTCACTACTCTTCTTCTCAACTCATCCATGCTCAAACAAGGTTGATTCACATGGATAAAACTTGTATGCTTACAGTAGTATACGGTGAACACACTTTTATGAATCGAAGACACTTGTGGGCTGATCTCATTCGGCTCGCCTCATGTGATATCCCTTGGCTTGTTGCTGGTGATTTCAATGCGATTAGAGATTCAGACGATAGAGTAGGCAGCTCCACTCCGTGGATTCCCGCTTTTGATGATCTTAAGGAATGCCTAAACCAAGCGGGACTGGAGGATCTCCGTTATGTAGGATGCAGATACACTTGGTCGCACTCCTCAGGAGCAAACCGGAAAATGCGTAAAATTGACCGAGTACTTACCAATGATATTTGGTCTCAAATCTTCTCATACTCGGAAGCTAATTTCCTTCCTTCTGGTATCTCGGATCATTCCCCAATGGTGATCAAGATTGTTCCTCCGCCTACTTCCAACAAGCCTTTCAAGTTTTTCAACTTTTGGGCTTCTCATCCTTTATTTCTGGATTTAGTCACTCAAGTTTGGCATTCACATATTGTGGGTTCTCCTATGTTCCAAGTTTGCTGCAAACTTAAAGCTCTCAAGGCTCAGTTGAAACTCTTGAACCGTAGCTCCTTCTCGGAGATTTCCACAAGAACAGAACAGGCTAGATCGGACCTATTCCTTGTTCAGTCGGCCTTGGACTTGAACCCTTTCAACCAGAGCCTTCTTGAAAGAGAAGTGGAGCTTCAAAGAACCTTTTCCGACCTTAGACTACAAGAAGAATCCTTTTACAGGCAAAAATCCAGAATCCGGTGGATTAAGGAAGGGGACATGAATACCAAGTTCTTTCATCATCATGTCAACCATAGACGTCTTCATAATAGAATCTTATCTGTTTCGACAGGAGATGGGGAGTTTATTACTGAACCATTGGCGGTCAAGAACCACATTGTATGTCACTTTCAGCAACTACTCACCAGTAGTCCAACTAATATTCAGCCTCGATCCGGGAGGTGGGTGGCTTTATTGACGGGACTTTAGATGAGAACCAACAACTTTACTTATCATATCCGGTATCCGATGAGGAAATCCAATCTACTCTATTTTCATCGGCTAAAGGCAAGGCGCCGGTCCAGATGGATACAATGCTGAATTTTTCAAACTCACATGGGGATCTTGGTCCTTCAATCTTGAAGGCGATCAAGAACTTCTTTGAAACTGGATGCTTGCTCAAAGAGGTTAACAATACCATCTTAACATTGGTACCGAAAACCCCCAATGCGTCGAGTATGAATGACTTCCGACCAATTGCGTGTTGCAACACCCTTTATAAATGCATCTCCAAAATCCTTGCAAGGCGTATTGCGCAGGTCCTTCCTTCGCTAATTGGACCGCCACAAACGGCTTTCGTCAGAGGTCGTAGAATAAGTGACAACATTATGATCGCCCAGGAGTTGTTTGCGGACTTCCACCATGAGTCTTACTTTCCTAAGTGCGCCATCAAGGTGGACTTCCAAAAAGCATACGACACGATTGAGTGGAGCTTCATTCAAAAGGTACTTGCAGCATTCAAATTTCCGGAAAACTTCACTAAGCTAGTTTTAGCTTGCATATCCTCAGCCAAATTCTCAGTTGCAATAAATGGGGAACTTCACGGCTTCTTTGCTAGTAGCCGGGGAATACGACAAGGAGATCCACTGTCGCCGTACCTTTTTGTCTTAGCTATGGAAATCTTTTCGGGTGTGCTGAGGGACAAAACTCTTAATCCGGATTTCCAATGGTTCTGGCGTTGCAAGAAAGTGCGCACCTCCCATCTATTCTTTGCGGATGACGTCCTTATATTCGCACAAGCGCATTTGAGATCCATTCAGCTAATCAAGGAAGCAATCGATTTGTTCTCCAATTGGTCTGGTCTAAGACCAAATGCCAGAAAAAGCAATATTTATCTGTCGGGAGGGAACCCGGAGCTACACAGCGACCTTCTACTATGCCTTGGGTTTCAACAAGGCTCTCTTCCTTTTCGATACCTAGGCGTGCCCGTCATATCTTCGAGGCTTCGGAAAGAGGATTGTAAATGCTTGATTGATTCCATAACGTCGCGTGTCCGATCTTGGACTCACAGGTTCTTGTCTTTCGCGGGCCGACTGCAGCTTATACGATCGGTCCTGGTTTCTATCCAGGTGTACTGGGCCACCATCTTCTCTCTTCCTAAGTCAGTGCTTTATAGTATTGAGACTATTTTGAGACAATTTCTTTGGAAGGGCCCTGATTTAGGCTCGGGCGGTGCTAAAGTTGCATGGGATACGGTATGCCTACCTAAAGAAGAAGGAGGTCTGGGGATCCGAAGACTCACTGATTATAATAGAGCTATGATGCTCAAACACATATGGCTTCTTTTCACCGATAAGGAGTCCATGTGGTGCAAGTGGATACACACGAACTTTATAAAAAGTTCTAACTTCTGGCTTGTGCCTAAGCCCACCTTTTGTTCCTGGACGTGGAAGAAAATTCATGATATGCGAGATTATGCTCGGACTATTTTTCGCTGGAAAATTGGTAATGGACGTTCAATCTCCTTGTGGTTTGATTGGTGGCATGATAGAGGCCCCCTACACCTTCTCTTCAATGATACGGACATTTATCAGTCTCGCATTCCCCGGGACACCACTGTTCGGGCCTTTTATGACTCGGTATGGCAACATTCACTTACTCTGGATGCTATATTGAGCTGGACGGAACCTTCACCTATTTTTCAGGAGGACATTGAAGATGAGCTGATCTGGGCTCCTCAACCATCCTCTACCTTCTCGGTGGCGACAGCTTGGAACCATATAAGAAGAAAAGGATTGCCGGTTCAGTGGCATTCATTTATATGGGATCACCATATTGCTCCTCGACACTCCTTTCTTCTATGGATAATTTCCCTCGATCGATTGCCTACTCGGATCGCTTCTTATTCATAATAGCAGGATCAATGCCGCTTTATGCGCTTTTTGTGGTGCTACTCCGGACTCAATCAATCACCTTTTCTTCCAATGCTCCTCTACAAGAAGTTTGGCGTTGTTTTGGGCAACTAAATGCTATCTCCCATGGCGTAACCGTCCGTGGCATGAGCATATAACATGGGCAATGAAGGTTTGTGGAGGATCATCATTTGCCCACCGTCTCACCAGGTTCTCATTTGGTGCCCTTTGTCATATAATATGGACTGAAAGAAACAACTCAATCTTCCGCAACAAGAGTATTTTCATTCCTGGCATGCGCAATCATATGATCAAAGTTTGAAGGATAAAGCTTCAACCCTTGGAAGAGTTGCGAGACACGCCAATGAATAGGAGATTACAAAGGAGTTGGGGCTATCATCATCCATTTTTTCTTAGTTCTTTCCTTTGTTTTTCCTTGTTTCCTTTGGTCCGGTGTCTCAGGTTGCCGTGTACCTCTGGCTTGTAGAGTCCTTTGGGTCCTGGTTTTGGATTAGCCTTGTTTAGTGCTCCCGATTCTTCTCTCGGGGCTTGGTTGTCTGTTCTATTTGTATAGTCCTTGCTGGACCTTTCTTGACCCTTTCTGGACAGTTATGTCCTATTAGGGTCAGGTATTGGTTGGAGCTATAGCTTGTATTTGGTTTTGAGAAAGTTATATATATACTTACCTTACCAAAAAAAAAAAAAAAAAATGCATTCTCAAAGAAAGTGTGTCTCAAAACTTTTGATTTGAAACATTTCAGAGGTGTTTTCTTCTTTTTTCTTTTTTTTTAAAAACAATCCGTTTTGTTTTGCTCAGTCTTAGTGTCATTCCGCTTGGAAAAAAGGAAGTTCGATTCTCTCTTAGAAAGGCAACTTCTTTAACACATGCATTCATGCTTTAGGGATTTTTGTTTGACCAACTTGCCAAGATCCCTCTTGTTTGCGTGCTTTTGTTTTGGTTCCACTGGGGATTCGGTTTTTCTTGTTTCCTTTTCTTTGTCTCCCTGGGGATGATAAAAAGAAGAAGCACATTAGAGAATTTTATCAGAAAAATTGAATTGGAAATGATACTCCCCTCTATCATTCACCAACTTCATTGGGGATTCTAAAACCATTGACTAATTCATACTCCTTTTGCTTTCTCCAGCAAAACAAGTGAACATGTTTATGAAATGCATGATATGTGTGATATGCATGATATGCACATATTCTAAAGTGACCCGAATCTCTTCTGTAATGTTCATCTTCATTTCAGGGATAGAATATCTTGACAGCATCTGCATTTATAGAATAGGCCAATTCTGTTCTAGCCATATCTACAAGAATAAATGCTCCTCCTGGAAGGACTTTCTTGATAACGTGTGGACCTTCATAATTCAAAGTTAATTTGCCACGAGGATCTGAATTATTAAGAATGACTTTCTTCACTACTAAATCCTCTGCTTTGAAATGCCTTGGCTTCACTTTTCTGTTAAATGATTTGGCAACTCTTCTCTGATAAGCTTGCCCATGACATATAGCTCTTAATCTCTTCTCATCAATCATATTGAGTTGTTCATATCTTTGTTGAATCCATTCAGCTTCTGAAAGCTTCAATTGGGATAATATCCTTAATGAAGGAATTTCTACTTTAACAGGTAGCACTGATTCCATTCCATAAATCAAGGAAAATGGGGTTATTCCAATTGATGTTCGAATTGAAGTTCGGTATGCCATCAGAGTATACGGCAACCTTTCATGCCAATCACGATAATTTTCAGCTATCTTGGCCAAAATCTTCTTGATATTCTTATTTGCTGCTTCAACTGCTCTATTCATTTGTAGGCGATATGGAGACGAGTTCAAATGTCGGATGTGGAAGTGTTCAAGTAAGTCATCCATAATCTTGTTGTTTAGATTTGAGTCGTTTATGATTATTGCTTCTGGAACTTCATACCCAGCAATGATGTCCCGCCTAATGAATCTTGCAACATTCTTAGCAGTAATATTCGTGTAGGAGTTTGCTTCAATTCATTTGGTGAAATAGTCAATTGCAACCAAGATAAACCGATGCCTATTTGAGGCCTTGGGGTTGATCGGACCAATCGTATCAATGCCCCATATTGAAAATGGGCATGGCTCTGACATTTGATGCAGCTCATTTGGTGGTGTATTGATTATGTCTCCATAAACTTGACATTGATGACAACACTTCACATGTTGGATGCAATCTGTTTCCATTGTCATCCAATAATATCCCAACCTCATGATCTTTTGAACTAGGAAATGTCAATTCATGTGCGGTCCACATTGGCCCTCATAAATCTCTTGCACGATCTGTTCTGCTTCCGTAGCATCCACACATCTTAGTAAAGTTGAATAAAATGATTTCTTATACAAGGTTTGACCACTAAGGAAGAATTTATTGGCTATCTTCCTTATAAATTTCCTGTCACTTGGTTGGCTTTCTTCAGGAAATTATCTAGATTGAAGATACCTTTTGATGTCATGAAACCATGGTTCGTTGTCAAACTCTACCTGGATCATCATGCAATGAGCCAGCTGTTCGAGAGTATTAATCCTCAATGGTTTTATATCCATACCATCTTCGGCTCGCAGTTAGGATGACAAAGTTGCAAGAGCATCTGCAAAATGATTATGAGCTTTTGGAAGATAATCGAATGTTACTTCTTCAAACTCTTCTATCATCTTTTCTAAGTATATGTGATAGGAGATCAGTTTGGCATCTCCAGTTTGCCATTCACTAGTCGTGTGCAATATGATGAGCATAGAATCTTCATATACTTGCAACCTCTTTACTTTCATCGAGAGGGCTAATTGTAAGTCGAGAATGCATGCTTCATATTCAGCGACATTATTGGTGCATGGAAATACCAGCTTCACAGATACCGGATAATGTTGGCCTTCTGAGGAGATCAGTACTGCCTTAGTTCCTGATCCAGATAAGTTGGTTGCACCATCAAAATACATGGTCCATTTGTTGTTGACCAGTGTTAATATACGATCATAAAGTTGTTCTTCTTCAGGGTTGGTGATATACTACGAATTTTTTGCCAATATGTCCGCTATTGCTCGTCC